ATTAATATAATATTAATATATTATATTATATATTTAAACATTATTATATATAATATCATAACATAATTACAAAATAATATTATTGTTAGATGAAGGGTATATACGAGATAATTAAGGATGGTAATAAGTTGTTTCTCGGTGAGTAAAAATTTTTTATTTATATATGTGCATGTACATTACATATACGCACATGAATAAATATGAAATTTTCGTTCACCAATAAATCACTACCGCCTTAGACTTCAACAAGCTAGAAATTTGAATAGATTTGTTAGAAAATACTATTTTTAGTCGTGTCAGCGTGCCTGTAAAGTTCAAACATTGTTATACAAAGTACACAAGCTCTAATCTCGTATCATAGGCAACGGGAAGTCGCGTATACATGTATACATCTGTACGCACCATTCACGTGCCCGGCGTAAGATAATTAACTCGCGAAAAGCACGAAGGATAGAAAGAGAGGGAAAAAGATAGAGGGAGCAAGAGCGAGGAGAGAACAACAGAACGAGAGAGGGAGATAACAGACGGAGACAGAAACGAGCGAATCACGAATTACTGGGAGAAACAGCATTGTAATTTTCAAGGAGTTTTGTAAAGGACATTCGTCACGGAGAGAGACGTCATGTCTCCAATATAATTTTGGACAATTCAAGGCCGAGCTTGTAAGACTAACGGACGTGAGCTACAAAAAGAAATTTTCTCTCATTTTCCTTCTATTTTTTTTTTTTAAAGCGGTAATCCAGAAAGATCCGAAAGAATACAATGACATTGATTGATCATGCCGAGTCATAAATTTCGTAAAGTTTGAAAGTAAAGAAAACGGATCGGTTCGTTATAACTGTGTGTATACAGGGGTCTCTTTGCAGGCTTCCGTTTTCACGTTTACACGACCGGGGACGATTTCCCGTGAAAAATGCGAGATCATTGTCGATTCGTGAGATCGGATCCTCGAGTGCGAAAAATTCAAAATCGCTCAGGAATTAAGGACTTAAGGATTTTCAGCAGAAGCGGCGAGACCCGTCGATCGCGCAACGACGTCACCGTCCTCTCCCGTCCGCTTGACGGCGCCGTGGATGATTTAACGTTGACAGATTCGCGCTTACTTTTGGTCGCCTCCGCACTATTTATATCGCCGATACTGCTGTGGACGCTACGCTCTTCCATCTTGGCCCCGTACGTTACAACATCGGCCCTCTCTTCTCTCCCCTTTGTACGCGCAAATCTTGCCGAGCGTGTCCTCCCGTCTTCGACGTGCAACGACACTCGTCCGTCCCGTCGCCGATCATTTAAAATGCTATCACGCAGGCGACAGCCGCGAGATCCTCCGCACCACCCTCGTGTTCAACATGAAACGTCACTCACGCTCGCCCGTTACCACGAAACAATTACCTTCCGTAACAAGCGTAAAAATCAACGGCGCCGACGAGGATCATCGACAGGACGACCAACGGCACAGAACACTGAACACCAGCCACGATTTGTTGGCCCCCCTCTTTCCCTCCATGTATATCCCGTGTGTTATCCACCCCACCACGGCCACTACTTTTTTCGTTAAAATCGCCAAAACTCACGTTGTCTCTCTCGCGCGCTACTCCTCTCGCGCATGCGCGCCGTCTTCCTTTTCATCGCAGCCAATCGCAGCATTGATTACTAACGGCAAGTGCGAAATAGAAATGCGAATAGAGTGTTAAGGCGCCTTTACATGGACGTTAAGGTACTTTAAGCTGCCTTTACATAGCAGTGTCGAGCATATCGCACAGTGATATGTTTAATTTAATAATTTTGCTGAAATTGAATTTAATGTATGAGATATACTAATAATGGAATCTCTTGTAGTTTACACTATATAAATATAAATTTTTATTATTACATGGTAGGACAGTATATATCAGAACATAACTTCTTTTAAGTAATACGCATTCTATAATAAGCCATTAGTCATAAATTAAAAGTTAGAAGCTGAAAATTGACCGATCATAGTTGTCAATTTCCAACTTCTAACTTCTGATTTATGACTAATGGCTTATTGTAGAATGGCTATAAGGAGCACAGATTATTGTTGTATAACTCATAACACGTAATATATAAGAAAATATACTAATCAAAGTCCTTCCTTTCCTTCCTTTTTATAAAATAAAGAATTCTGATTGGTTCAATTTCTTATGCCTTATGTGTTTATGCGTTATCTAGAGTCTCTGCTCTTCGCTTTATGGCCATTCTACAATAAGTCATTAGTTATAAATCAGAAGTTAGAAGTTGGAAATTGACGACTGTGATTGGTCAATTTCCAGCTTCTAACTTCTGATTTATGACTAATAGCTTATTGTAGAAAGCCCATTAGACTATATCCATACAACTTGCATAGCCGCATAAACGTATATACATAAAGAAAATTATCCAATCGTATTTTTCCTATAAAAACGTATGTAAAATGTGATTGGATAATTTGCTTTACGCATATGTTTATGCGGCTATGCAAGTTTGTATGAATGTACCCCTTAGGCCAGAATTCAGGGCCAGTTTCACCAATGCCAATTAAGTTTATCCGTTGATTAACTTCGTCACCAGAATAGCTAACAGCAAGACTTAAAAATCTATCTTTCTAACTTATTCTTGTTGGTAATAGTAAAGAAAAAGTGTTGTGTAGAAATAATAAAACAGTGAAATGTAAATATATTTGACTATTTTTTACAAATACGTACTTTCGAAATTAGATTAGAGATGATGAGTTTTTTAGTTTAACAGTTGGCAATACTTAAAGTTAATCGGCGGATAAACTGGTGTTGGCGAAACTGGCCCTATAGTCGAATCTTATATTTAAGACCGTCTGAAGTACAGTCTTAAGAAGTTACGAATCAATCAGAGGACCTTATTAGCGTCTTAAGACATTACTTAAGGCAGTCTTAAAATAATAACGGACTGTGAATACCTGTGAATGCCATTCTTATTTCAAGATTGTCTCAAGTAATGTCTTCCCAGTAAACGAGAATGGATTAAAATAAATTGAAATTTTTTTCTATCGAAATTTGTATTTTAAATAACGAATACTTTTTTGGATTTAATTACATTCAATTAGATGCAATTGGATTGAAAAACTGCATTTCCTATTCAAAATTTTGAATTGAACAGTATTCACAATGCACAGAAAAAGCTAATATTATTTTTAGATTGAAAGAGATATGCTCCATGCAATTTTTATAAATAAATAAAAATGTATTCAGGATTAAAAAGCATTCATTTTAACATTCTTGAATCAATATTTCTGAAAATCTGAATCCATTTCAATTCATTTCAATCCATTCTCGTTTGCTAGGTTAAGACACTAATATGACCCTGTGATTGGTTCGTAATTTCTTAAGACTATACTTAAGACGATTTTGAATATAAGAATTGAAACTATGAATACCGACCTTAATTATCATTTTGCGTTGATATCTGTGCAGAAGATTATTGCGCATGAATCTGGAGGTTCATGCATAATAATCTTCTGCGATCAGAGCTGTAGGATTAGCATCGTAAGAATATTGGCTTGCCAAAAATTAAAAAAGCATTTTGAAGCATTTTGAAGCGAAGTTCGTACTTTAACATATTCTTGACTGTCTTTAAATTTAATTCTGTAGAATTGAGGAAATAAAAAATTTTTGCAATGATTTTTCGCCGAATTTCAATATTCGTTGAAAGAAATGCAGATTTAGCTTCAAAGTGGCATAATTCGATCAAGAAAAAGTATAAATTTT